AGCCTTGGGTTTCTGAACGGAAGTGGCTAGACACCGGCGGAGAGCGATCAGACGGGGATAATGCGGTTGGAACCGGGGCACTCAGGATACCACCACTTGGGGACCTAGTAGTAGAATATAATGGTTTAAAGCTGTTTGCAACGGTTAGGGACGGAAGGCAGATGTTCGCCGTGTGATTGCCCGTAAATACACCGATTCCAACCGACATCTATACCAGCGTAAATGCCCCGTCTGAATGCACCCTATATGTCCTATATATGGGAAAGTGGAGTGATTTCAGATGCCAAATGACATTAGCAGGCAAATGACAATAGCAGGTGTGATTGGATTAGGTGTGATATGCAGAGAGGTAGGAGGCATGGAGAAATCAGCACTGGTAATGAAACCTAGGTCTTGATACAGTCCAGGTGGATGCGTTGTCTTGAGTTTCATTATCAGATATAATTCAGCAGTCACTCTTTCTAATCTCCCTTTGAAATTCCTTTGTAAGATAATTGCTACTTTTAGGTCAGCAACTGAATGTCCTGGAAGGTTAAAATGTCCCCCCACTGGTTTTTGAATGTTGTGGTTTCTGATGCCAGACTTATGTCCATTAATTCTTTGTCAAAGGGACTGGCCTGTTTGTCCAATGTAGAGGGTGGGAGGGCATTGCTGACACATGATGGCATAAATCATATTAGAGGATGAGCAGAGGGTATGGCTGATGTTGCTAGGATCTATATGAGAGCAAAGTTGGCATCTTGGTTTGTTGCAGGCCTCGGTACCAGAGTCCACATTACTGTTAAGTACTTGATCATTGTGGATGAAAAGTTGTTTTAGGTTAGCAGGCTGTCTGTAAGCAAGAAAAGGTCGGGGGGCCCAATGCCTGTGTGAGGGAAGTGTCACTGTCCAGCATGGGTTGTAGGGTATTAATAATGCGTTGAACTGGCTTGAGTTGTGAGCTGTAGGTAACCACCAGTGGTGTTCTGTTGTTGTTTTCTTTGGGCTTGTCTTGTAGCAAGCTGTTCCCTGTGACAGCAGATGAAGTAACACCTTCAATCTGCACCTGAGTATCGGTGAACACAAGGCAATGGAGGAGAGTGCCTATTGCTTATTGTGTGTCTATCGTAAGGTCCCTTGCAAACTGCCCCCAGGGAAAATATTCCATCAAGGTCAGTATTGTCTACTCAGACTGGCAGCGGCTTCCCAGTGTCTCAGGCAGAGGTCTTTCACATCACCTACTGCCTGGTCCTTTTAGCTGGAGATGTAGGGGATTGAACCTTGTATCTTCTGCATGCCGAGCAGATGTTTACCCCTGAGCAACAGCCCCTCCCTGAATGTGTTAACGTGTACAGAAACGTCTTCAGACAATTGTGCATCTTACCGAAATGATCACCTGAGATATGAAGCTCAAAGGGTGACCTTGAGCTAGTCATTCTGCCTAATCTCTGTATGTTAAGTGCGGACAAGTTGCTTCTGACTAATGGCAACCCTTTGAATTAATGACCTCCAAAATATCCTGTTGCTAATTAACCTTGCTCGGGTCTTTCCGTCTGAGGGCCACAGCTTCCTTTGTAGAGTCAATCCATCTCATGTTGGGTCTCCTTTCTTCCTGATGCCTTCAACTTTTCCTAACATTATCGTCTTTTCTTTGGTCTTCTGATAATGTGACCAAAGTACGATAGCCTCAGTTTAGTCATTTTAGCTTCTAGGGAGAGTTCAGGGTTGATTTCATCTAGAACCCACTTACTTGTCTTTTTGGCAGCCCACGGTATCCACAAAACTCTCCTCCAACCCGACGCTTCAAATGAAGCAACTTTCTTCCTGTCAGCTTTCTTTGTTGCTTAATCTACTATCAAAAAAAGGGGGGGGAATCACCTCATCTACAAAACACCATCCTGAGCTCCCTTGGAAGAAGAGTAGGATAAAAATGTGGTGAGTGAGCACATTTCCTCTCTGCTAGTTTCACCTCTGGCATTGGAACCCCTGAGAAAAGGGCCTGGGGGGAGAAGGCCGAGGGCACGGGGGATTTTGCACCCCCAAACCATGCACTTCTTTCGCTTTTAAGATTAGATGAACCCACTCTTTCAATTAAAAAAAACATGGAGGAATTTGTGGGAGTTTGCTTGCTTTACACTCAGATTTATGTTAGGGTGATAAAGAGTTAGGCCTTTGGCAAAAGAAAGAACAAAATTTAACTCCATGCAGATGTAACTCCATACAAAAATCAGCGAGGAAGCAAAAACTTCTTCTGGAATTAAAACAATCGCTTTGCCTGCAGCCACACATGCGAAATAATCCACTTTCAATCCACTTTTAGTTGGAAAGTGGATTGAAAATGGATTGAAAGTGGATTATTTAGTCACATAGGGGTGTCAAACATAAGGCCCGGGGGCCAGAACCAGCCCATTCAAAGGTCTTACGCAGCCCACGAGCAACTAGTGCAAGGGAGGGAACAGGAGACTGTTTGGGGGGAGTGGGCAGAGCCACTCCGATTGTGGCTTCAGCATGGCAGGACAACCTCGTCTGCAGCAGTCAGGCAGCGTGAGAGCATCTGCCCAGTGCTGCCTCACTGGCTCTCCAGTCTGCCCTTGTGGGTTTTCCTTTGCGCACCCCCCTCCCAGCCCATGGGGCCTTGCAGTGAGGCTATACCAACTCGGAGCTTTCCAGCTACTATCCTTTATATGCTTTATATCTCTGGGACCTGGCATTACCTTTTATGGCACACATGGCCCGGCCCAACAAAGTGACATTTATGTAGGGTTGCCAAGTGTTACCTTCCTCCGCAGCGGGGGACTCCTGGGCTGATCACGGAGTGCGCGCATCGCATCCACATCACCAGGAAGTGACGTGACGATGCCGGGCACGCTGGGGGCGGGGCCATGACCATCCAAGGGGAAACCATAGAGTTTTCCCTCGGATGACCGTGGCCCCACCCCCAGTGTGGCCGGCGCCGTCACGTCACTTCCTAGTGACGGGCACGTCGGGGGCGGAGTCCCCCCCGGGCCCCAATCCGGCGGCGGTGGGGAACAGGCCTCTGGGGCGGGGGGTTCCCCGCCCCCCGGAGGGACTTGGCAAGCCTACATTTATGTCAGATCTGGCCCTTGTAACAACTGAGTTTGACGCCTCTGATTTAGTGTGTGTGATCGCAAACTTATTTAGGTATGCCAGTTTGTTTCTCTTCAAATTCAAAAAGTCCTGATGATCTTCTCTCATGGTAGGGCTGCCTCTGTTATTAATTAATTACTGGGATCCCACAAAATATCTCCACTGGCAGAAAGGATTTCCAGTCCAAGGAGAAATTTCTCTGCACCAGCCTCATTTAAATAAACGGGAGCAGGGCTCTCCTTGCACATCTTCTTTTAATTTCAGTCAAGGATTGTGTGATGGAACTTCTCCCTGGACTGTGATTTAAGTGTGTGTGTACACGAGAGAGAGAGAGAGAGAGAGAGAGAGAGAGAGAGAGAGAGAGAGACACATATTTTCAGGAGAGAGAGAGAGAGAGAGAGAGACTCATATTTTCAGTCTTGGACATTATTGCATTGTCCTGGGCTGGCCTTGGTCGTTGAAAACCTCTTCTACTGCTTAACAAGATTGATCAGGAATCCATTCTTTCAAATTTAAAATCTGTTAATCAACCGCTGTTTTCAAAAGGACACTGTATAGACAGGGTAAGAGCGCCTGCATCAAAGATGATCCAGTTACCTTTCTTGGAAATGTAATAAGCTTTTTGTGAGCATTACATGTTAGATTGAGGTCCTGCTGCCATCCTGTGGCAGAAGGGGGCAATTGCAGTCTATTGGAAGATGAAGAAGACTCCAGGCAGCAGGAGGTATATAGCCCTTGCTGATTCTCTGCTCCCAAATGTGGCCTCCTAAAGCTCCTTTAGCCTAGACATATTTGTGTGTAATACATAGTGGGGATATGTGTTTAAAATGGGATTGTAAAAGCTACCTCTGCTAGAATGCCTAGTCTGTCTCTCTTCACTATGATCCATCATCGGGGGGGGGGGGGGAATACAAATGTTGTAACGTGCAAACATCATGAAGGCTTCCATTTGTTACCCAGGATTGGCAATGGGGTGGTAGTGTTTTCGCCTACCTTACACTGGAGCAGGGGAACAACGGGTAGGGGCGTGGCTGTTAAATAGGTTGGTCACTTTGGCAGAATAGGGCAGAGATAAGGAAGTGGAAAATGGTGAGCACCTTAAGCCGTCCCGTGTTTTGGGAACTGGGGGGGACTTCAGGAATGGTCTGCGGGCTAAGGCCCTGGGTGCCTCTTGGGTAAGCTCCTCTCTGCAAGCTGTAGGGTTTCAGGGGTAGGCGCTCCTGGGAGGCTACCTGTGGCTGGGCTGCTGGTCGCAAGCCAGATTAATGGCCCAAGACCGGGGCTGGTGGCTCGCCCACATATCAGACAAGGAGGCTGGTCAGCCTGACACCTGCCTTGTCTGTTCCGCTACCTAGGAAATGCTCCCTTCCCGGTTGCTGTTAATATATTGTATATAGTTAATAAAGTGGCCCTTGTTTGATCCAAACTGTTGTCCGTCTCGTTATTCCGGCTGTGGGGGCAAGTGTCATATGTTAAAATAGTCTCAGAACGGGTGTCATGACGAACACTGAAAGCAGAGAACGAGGGGGAAACAACATCAGAACCAGCTGTTGCCATATATATTTTCTTTATTTCACATTTATTTACAACATTTATATGCCTGCCTTACACCACCTAATGAAGCAATTTCATCTAATTTTTTTAAAAATAAAATCTTGTCCTTCCTCTGTGAAGTTTAGGTAGCAAACACACTCTCCTTTCTCACATTCGGGATGGTCAGCCAGCCGCCGTAACAACATTATATCATGAGAGAGGGTTTTTTCCGGTAACTACTGTGCCACCTTGTTCAAGTGAGAATTACCTGACTCTATCAAGAGGAGCCATAGTCTCATCAGACAGAAGCAAAGGGAAGAAGTTCTTTATTGTCAGGAAGTAAGGAACTATTATCACCACACTCTCCTCTTTTCACTCAGGTCAACCCATTCAGGGACAGAATCTGCAAGGTGTTCTCCACAGACGGCTACTTCACATTTGAGGACATCCTTGGGATGGCATCTGTCTTCAGTGACCTGGCATGTCCCATCCTTAAGATAGAGTATGCTTTCCGGATATACGGTATGATGTTCCCCTCAACTGTGTTTCTCAGGCAGGACCCAAGAAGCGGTAGAGCTCTAGAAGTCAGGAGGGAGCCTTTGGCTCAGCAGGTGCTGTCAAACAGCAGAGGTACAGGACAGACTGCGCAAGAGTGGCCCCAGTGTTTTTTTTAGGCTCAGGGCCCCAACGTCAACCTGAACCAAAAGCAGAGGTGAGCTCGCTTGCTGAAGTCGAAAGAGGAAGTCTCTGGATGAAGAAATAGAGAATAGAATGGAAGAGGCTGTTGGAAGTTCACCAAAGATGGAGAGAGGCCATAATCGAGTGGTAGATCATATGCTTTGCATGCAGACAATTCTAGGTCCCTTGTGACTCAGTTGAAAAGAAACCTAGTTATAAGGATGCGGCACATTTTGTGGTGAAACTGTTTGGCAGCCAAACATACTGTGTTCGACACTCACTGTCACATCATGAGCCGCACAGAAATTTGTTCAGCTGCCTGATGAGAAGTGGCGAACAGGTGGTGAGCCCAACTGGCAAGCCCAACTAACCCAGTTGGCAGGCATGGGGTTGAACCTGGACCACATCCTCCCCCACTAAACTATGGCCCCTCATCATCTTTCTCACGATCTACCCTTCTGCCTATTTGTTATCATACCATCCACAAACAATTATTGTGACAGCTTAATCCACAAATCATCTCATTTTCACATCAACTTTTGTGGTCTTTGCATGTACATTATTCCAATAGACAATGTGCATGTAAAATGTAATGCCAATCAACTGAGACACGAATAATGTTGAAAACGCTATGCCTTGTACAGTGGAGAATCTGGTGTGTGGTGGTGGGGGGAATAGGAGATGACAGAATCACTAATTCAGTTGGCGCAAGTGAGTAGTGAAATAAAAAATGGGGGGGGGGGGTTATCCAAACAGAATGGATGCAGAATTCAAAATGCAACCTTTCCAGATGAAGCAGGGTACTTCTGATTACTAGGTGATGGGGAGGAATGGTAGGTAATGGTCCGTCAGCTCCACAGCCTGCTTGTGGACTTCTCAGAAGTAACTGGCCAGCCAGTGTGGGAGGAACAGTGGGGTGGACGGATCTTTGGTATGATCCTGAATGGCAGTTCTTAATGGATTGGGGTGGGGGGCTAACTGGGCTGCTGTTTTGCCTTACACCCTCCTGAATCCTCCCACCCCATCCCTCTATTGTGCATTCCCCACCAGATTTCAACGAGGACGGCTTCATCGATGAGGAAGACCTTCAAAATGTCATCCGTCGATTGCTCAACAGTGAAAACATCAGAGAGGAAGTGATTGTGTCCATGGCCAACCGTGTGCGTATCCCCATAGCAACCCCTTCCTTTTAGGAACTCTGCAGAGACTTCAAGGAAGAGGTCTGCTGCTGTGGCAAGTTCTGAGAAGGCCAGTCCATGGGATGAATATGAGCTACTAAAATCATGCTCCGGCAGGAAAGGCCAATGTAATCCTTGGCTTAACTGACAGAAGCCTGCGGTCTCAATTTAGGTGCCTGGTTCAGTGCCCAAAGGTTTCTCCTATGGGCTTCTTGTGTTGCCCTGGGTCAGTATGATCAGAGAGAATTCACTGGTCTGGATTAATGCATCCTTTTCTATTCCAAGTAGGTGCTGAAGGACGCTGACTTGGATAATGACAAAATGCTCTCTGCGACGGAGTTTGAACATGCCATGAACCTGTGTCCGGACTTCCTAGAGTAAGAACCGATTTCTAGGGCGCCAGACTTTGCCTGCTGCCCCACAAACTGCACCCGAGGCCTGGAATCCCTTATTCCTTTCTTAGCCTTGGAGTTTTGTATTTATGAGAGGGAGCGGTCAGCCAGAGATCTGTTCCAGAACAGGAATTCTGGGGGCCTTTTCATAGGTCCTTCCATAAAGTTACATGGATTACCTCTGTCTCAAGAACAGATTGGGTTGTCTTGATAGGAGGTGAAGCTGGCTTGTTCCAGTGGGAGCCCCTCCCAAAGCCCCCCTGGGAGCCAATCCCTGGCCAGCCAAATGCCAGTTTCAATAAGATGCCCCTGCATCTTGGGCTTTGGCCCGTCTCTGTGGTCCTAGCCCAGGAATCTAATGGACCTCTGCTCTCAGCTCCTTTAGGATCGACTTCTGATGAAGGGGAAGGCAGCATGAAAGATGCAGGCAGCTTGTGAGTGACGATGACAACATCAAATCCCCCACCAGCCTCCATGGGGATTTTAGTGAGGACCCCAGCCGACAAATCTATGTATTTTCCAGCAGATATAGGATTAAAAGGTGCTTCAAAATAAAGGAAAGAAGAGCCTGCCAGGTTCCTGGTTTTCATTTCCATAAAGGGTGGCCATGGTGAGTGGCACTGGGCAGGGACAGGAAGAGGACTGGCTGCAGGAAACCTTAGACCCAGGTCAGAGGGACAGCTGCTGCACTGGCCGATGGACTTCCCAATGGCAACCTTGGTCTGCATGGGCATGAGTGGATATGGCCACTTTTCTTTCTTTTTTAGTTTAGTATATTGCCTTTGGGAGGGAAGGTGGCATTGCACAGTCCAGTCTTGTCAGATCTTGGAAGCTAAGCTGGATGGGACACCATATAGGAAGACTCTGCAGAGGAAGGCAATAGCAATCCGCCTCTGCTTCCCGCCTGCCTTGAAAGCCTGATGGCAAATATGTATGTATGTTGTCTTCAGAGCCATCCAAAAAGTATGGTGAATCAGGATGACTGTTCCAGGTCCTGCACTGGGGGTGGCCGGGCAGGCACTTCCTAGAAGATGCCACTGATTATCTAGGTGGCAGTGCCTGCATGAGACCAGTTGGCCAGATGGTCAGGGGTGTCTTGGGGTTGAAAGTGCACTTCAAGGAGGAGGAGGAGGAAGCAGAAGAAGTGGTAGTAATGGTAGTAGTAGTAGTAGTGGAGGAGGAGATTGGATTTATACCCCACCCTTCACTCAGAGTCTCAGAGCAGCTTACAATCTCCTTCTCTTCCTCTCACCACAACAGACACTCTGTGAAGTAGGTGGGAGGGTGAGAGAGCTCTGACTGAGAACTGCTCTTGAGAGAACAGCTCTAAGAGAACTGTCGTTTGTCCAAAGTCACCCAGCAGCTGCATGTGGAGAAGTGGGAATCAAACCCAGTTCTCCCAGATTAGAGTCTGCACTCCTAACCACTACACCAAAGTGGCTCACTCAGCCGCTAGGGGAGATAATGCAGCCCAGGTGACCAGGGGCATAGACTTTCAATTTTCCTGGGAGGTGGGTGGCAGGGGCTGGGTCAGAGGCATTGCTATGCTATGTCCTTAAAAGAACTGGGGCCCAGTGGCATCATAGAGAGGAGTCAGTGATGTCACAGGCCATTGTCACTATCTCTGTAGTGCAGCCATGTGGGATTTAGGGAGGGGCTCCCCAGAAATTTAGGGGGGCCTGGGAACCCCTCGATCTTCCCCCCCAGCAATGCCCCTGGGCTGGGCTAAACCCAGGAAAAGGTGGGAGTTGGCCAGTGGTTATAGTGGTATCTCAGCAGTCTCCTGCTGTGTCCTGTTTTTGAAATTCACTTTTAGAATAGTCACTTTGAGATCTGCAAATATACATACCATGTGCATTGGAAAAACTGATGGTCACAAATTTGGCAGTAAGAGAGGCAACACAGAAAAGCCTGTAGGGGAACATTTTAAAGTTTTCCTGGACATTCATTTACAGGAGTCTTGTTTCTGCCTTATTCATACGGGTGACTTATGTACTGCAATTTACTAAACTGTGGCATCACAGATGCCTTCATTTGGTAAATGCAGGGCTGGAGTCTCTGAACAGGGCAAAATACAAAGCAGCTGAGTAAAAAAGGAAATACAAACAAACAACAGAGCGACCAGCACTTATTCAGAAAATGGTGTTTTGGCTGCTCAGAATTTTTTTTAAATCTCTTTTTAAAAATGTAATTTATTTCATGTATATTCCACTTTTCTTCTTCACAAGAATAATAATAAGAATTGATTCTCATACCCACTTTTCTCTACCCTAGTAAAGGTAAAGGTTCCCTTGCTCAAAAGCCAGTTGAATCCGACTCTAGGGTTGCGGTGCTCATCTCCGTTTCAAAGCCGAAGAGCCAGCGCTGTCCGAAGATGTTTCCGTGGTCATGTGGCCGGCATGACTAAACACATCTTGGTTAAACACCCTAAGGAGTCTCAAAAGTTACTTACAATTGCCTTCCTTTCCTTTCCCCACAACAGACACCTTGTGAGGTAGATGGGGCCGAGAGAGCTCTGAGAGAACTGTGACTGGCCTGAGGTTACCCAGAAGGCTTCAGGTGGAGGAGGACTGGGGAATTAAACCCAGCTCTCCAGGTTAGAGTCTGCTGCTCTCTTAATCACCACACCATGCTGGCTCTCAGAAGTGTTAAGAATGGATAAAATCATACAATATGCAAACTAAACACAAACACATATAAACCAAACTTATTTACACATTTATTTATTTCTAATTTTGGTTACAGATTCAAATAGCAGCATTCAGGGCAGGAGATGGGCAGGTAGCAACCAAAACAAGTAGTTGCCTATCCCCAGCCGGACAAAAAAAGCACCAGTGCAAACCACAGCACCACAAGACTGCTTGTGCACAGTTCCCCCTTCCAGCTTCAATGGCAGCCAGTTGTATACAAGCATCTCCAGGCCAAGCCCCACCCCCACCCCGTTTGCTAACGAGTCTTATGTACATAACAAGCTGGCCACTGGAAAGCCAAAGGAGGTGGATGCCAGCATGCAGGCACTGGAAACAGGAAGTGCCAGCTTCCAATTAGTAAAGGTTTCCCTTGCTCGAAAGCCAGTCGAATCCAACTCTGCCTATCCCCGACTCCAAGCCGAAGAGCCAGTGCTGTCCGAAGACATTTCCGTGGTCATGTGGCCAGCATGACTAAACGCTGAGGTGTACGGAACGCTGTTACCTTCCCACCGAAGCGGTACCTATTTCTCTACTTGCAATTTCTTGCTTTCAAACTGCTAGGTTGGCAGGAGCTGGGGCCAGAAATGGGAGGTTACTCTGTCACGTGGCACTAGGGTCTCGAACTGCCAAACTATTGACCTTCCAGTCTGCAGTTCAGCATCTTAACCACAGGGGGAACTTCAACACTATATTAACATGATCAGAACATTCTTTCAGGCTGAAGGATACACTCCACAACACTGGGAAATACTACTGGCTGACACAAGATCATAGAGTATGCATGGGCAATAAGGAATCATCTTGCTCTTGTTGCTTGTTCTTCAACATTTCAGCCACAACTGGTGGGCTCTCCTCCTTTGGAGGTTTTTAAACAGGCTGACTCTGTGAACTTAGGCAGATCAGGTGCTTTCTTACACCCCCAGGGAAATACTGATCACCACTTTGGGGTCAGGAAGCAATTTTTCTCCAGGCCAGTTTGGCCAGGGATCCTGGAGATTTGTGTCATCTTCTGGGTGTGGAACAGGGGTCACTGGGGGTGTGGAGGGGGAGGTATTTGTGAATTTCCTGCATTGTGCAGGGGGTTGGACTAGATGACCCTGGAGATCCCTTCCAACTCTACGATTCTATGATTCTCTATGATTCTATGAACTCTTAATTCCTCACACAATGAAACTGCTTTAGCAGACTGGACCCCACCCTCTCCACTTCAAGTGCGCCACAAAGTCTTGTTTGCTTTATGAGGCAAGCATAAGACATTTTACAAGATTGTTCTCCTCTAGTCCATTTTTTCCTCACAACCACCCTGTGAGGTAGGTTAGGCTGAGAATGTGTGACTGGCCCAGGGTCACCCAGAAGCTTTCATGGCAGAACCATGCTGTTTGAAGAGCACATTGTTTGTGGGAATGTCTGGATGTACATTTATACTGATTGATGCCCAGAGACCACTACGGTGGAGCATCCAAAGTCCAGATCATTCATAGTGTTGAATGAAGGCATGCATAGTTGTGAGAACTGTGTACTGTGAACACTGGCTTGGATCTCATGGAAGATTTCTGTGTGCAGGACGGTCTTTATGCAAGCAGAAGCACTAAAATTGTTCTTCAGTGTCTGTCTGAGTGAATGTGGTTGTCGTTCCTGCTGTCTTTTCTGCCTACGCAAAACGTAGCACAAGCCATTTCTACTGGTGCAATTTCAAAAACCAATAAAATGATGCAAACCACCTACCTCGCAGGGTTGTTGTGAGGATAAAATGGAGGAGAGGAGAATCTTGTAAGCTGCTTTGGGTCCCCACTGGGGAGAGAGGCAGGGTAGCAATGAAGTAAGTAAGTAAATAAATAATAAATATGTTGTATCTTGAGTTGCTCTACATCCGTATTGTTGTTTTGTCAAAAATTATATTTAAATTGTGATGTGTCACTGCAGCCGTTGTGCTACTGCTTGGCGCAAGCTTTCAAGGGGACAATTTAAGGACAATTTCCTCCATGCTTGCGTATTGCTGGAACCACACTTCTAACAGAACACATATAACTGAACATGAGTAAAGGGGTTAGAGTTACTTCACTTCCTAACAGGTGATTGAGCTAGCCAGAAACTCCGGCACGTACACAGTAAACCCATCCATTAGTTTAGCTCAGAAGGAGACAGATTGAGCCATGTTCCCCCAAAGCAACTCACACAGATGACACAAACAGAGACTAAATGGTCTCTTTCTAAAGGACATCTCTCTTTTCAAATGCTAGTAGCGGAGTGTGAGACCAAGTTTCAAAGAGTGAAGGCTTAAACCTCCCCTCTCTTTCCTGCATGGCCCCCGAGGCAAAGTGAGCCTGCAGCCTGCATTTCATGGAGGTAACAAGACACTAGAGATTCTGTCTTTGAGCCCCAAATCAGTGTTCCTGGCAGTGGCTTGGGTGGGTGAGAAAGTAGATGCAGCAGAATGGGGAAAAGTGTAAAAGCTGAGTTTGAGACCAGCGTGGAGCAAATGGAAGACTGGGGGTGGGGCATTTAATCACTGCACTGCCTCCCCACTGGTATTGTTCCTATTGTCTGCAGCTTACCCTGGATATTGCTGGGCAACAAGACTTAGTGATACAGTCAAGAAAAAAACCCATCTGCTTTCATCTTAAGGACTAACAAAATTTGTGGCAGAGTATGAGCTTTCGTGAGTCACTGCTCACTTCTTCAGATACAGCTAGAATGTGAGTCCACTCACATTCTAGCTGTATCTGAAAAAGTGAGCTGTGACTCACAAAAGCTCATCCCTTGCCACAAATTTTGTTAGTCTTTAAGGTGGTACTGGACTCTTGGGGCGATTTCGCACTAGAGCTGCCTTGTGGCACAGCTGCCGTTTGCCCCAAGACTATTTGTCAGTTTCACACCCGAGGCTGCGGGGCTGCATTTGACCCGCGGCTTCGCCCGATTTCCTCCGCAGTTTCGTGATTCTCAAAAAACCAGGATCACGAAACTGTGGAGGAAATTGGGCGAAGCCGCGAGTCAAAATGCAGCCCCGCAGCCTCGGGTGTGAAACTGACAAATAGTCTTGGGGCAAACGGCAGCTGTGCCACAAGGCAGCTCTAGTGCAAAATCACCCTTGCTCTCTTCCACTGCTGCAGACAGACTAACACGGCTACCCATCTTGATCCATCGGCTTTTATGATAGCCCACTCTCAAATCGTCCTTTCTTCTACTTCGGCTTTTCTCCCAAAGGCTCCGGATCAGGCTCTGTATTCGAAATAGCTGTCTCGGACCTCTCTCTCTTGTGAGGTCACCCTTTTCCCAGAAGGGAATGTCTGGTATGTCCGTAGGTTCTCCGGAGACACCCGGTGAAGATGCCACAAGGTTTTGGCACTCAGAGGCGGGCTAAAGGAGGGAAGCAAGCACAGAATGGAGAAAAGGGTCACATCATGACTGTTGGCTAATCCCAGAGAGGCTATTGCAGCCGTAGAGAATAAAGGTGGAAACTCCAAGAGCTGATCTTCTCAGCAATTCCTGAAGAGTACAGGGACCATACATTCCCCCCCCCCCCCCCCGATGAACCTTGATTTGCAATTCATTCTCTCTCATAATGTCATGGTGGGTCTCAGATATGGTTGCCAACTCCAGGTTGGGAATCTCCTCAAGATTTGGGGAGGAAGCCTGGAGAAAGTGGGGCTTGGGGAAAAGAGAGACTTCAGCAGGCAATGCCAAAGTGCCAGAGAGTCCACCTTCCAAAGCAACCATTTTCTCCAGGGAAACTAGTCTTCGTAATGTGGAGATAAACTGTAAATCTGAGAGATCTCCAGCCCCAACTCTAGGACTCCCAATACATATTTATATTTGTTGATTTAAGAATGTATAACCAACATCAGCTAAAGCCCTTAACACAGCATTTGAGACTCTAAGAACATAAGAAGATCCCTTCTGAATTAGAACAATGGCGTATCTAGTTCCTGCATTCTTTTTCCTGTCGTTCCCCTACCTTGCTACTGGTCATTGATACATTGCATTGGAATATGAAGGCTTTAGCCATCATAGCTATGGCTGTTGTTGGACCTCACTCCCATGATCTTGTCTTATCCCCATCAAAAGTCATCTCAACTAGTAGCCATCACTGTATTTGGCGAGTCCTTAGGGTTGCCCACGTCCAGGTGGCAGCTGGAGATCTTCCGCTATTACAGCTGATCTCTCAGAGATCAGTTCACCTGCAGAAAATGACCACTTTGGAAGGTGGACTCTATGGTGTTGAAGTCCGACCCCTCTACAAACCCTGCCCTTTTAAGGCTCCACCCCCAAAATCTCCAGGTATTTCCCAACCCAAAGCTGGCAACCCTATGTGCCCTACAGGTTACTTTTGCACTGTGTGAAGCAGTACTTTCTTTTGTTAGTCCTCAATCTACTGGCCTTCAACATTCCTGGTTGCCCACAAGTTCTAATGTTAGGAAAAAGGTTGAAAAAGTTGTCTCTATGCCCTTTATCCATGCCATGCTTCACTGTACAAGCCCCTGGGTTAGAAAGATGGCTTTATTTGCATAAAGCCAAAATTTAAGGGGCTATCAAAATAGTAAAAAGCTAAATTTCATTTTAAAAGCTCGTATTTAGAAGGGGAAAATAATATCATACATACACCATACAAAGCCATGTAAAGTTCTTCACTTGACACCTTGACCCTGTTTTCACTTCCCACCTTTCCCAAATTCCCCTCCAAGGTGCCCATAAAATCCAAATAGACCAGACCTTCGGTTCTTTTCATACTAATTTAAAGATACAGCCAACAGGTGTCTGGCTGTTTTCGGGGGTCTTTTTATTTTTCTTGGAAATTAGTTTCCTGGCTCTGCTGCAAAAGCATGAATGCTTCTGGCTCACAAGAGAATCCAAGCAGAGCAAGCAAAGTCAGGGTCAGGCAAAAGGTGTAGTCCTGGCAAATAGGCTCCCAGTGGAGTCTAGACAGTGCAGAAGCTTTGCAGCATAATTGGGAACATGAAATCTGGCCATTTCCTGGGTGGTTTGTTTTATCCTGTGCATGGGAACCAATGTTCCAAATATAGAAGACTTTTTTCTTTACTCTTTGGGAGGGAAAATGCTTGCTGTAAATAATTTCAAGGATCTTTTAGCTGTACAAAGTAGTCTGCATACTGGTCATTGCTCATCACCACAGTCTTGTGAAAAATAGTCCAGATCAGGGCAGATTTAGCATTTTGCAAGCTAAGGGGAGCTTTTTGAGACCCTCTGAGTAGGAACAGGATGTCAAGGCCTTAATCCAGCTCCAGAATGGTACCTGAAGAGCAAAGAGCAGTAGATGACCCTCCACAAGGCAGTTTTTAAAAGACAACCAGTTTTCGCCAAAGAGACAATGCCTTCCTCATGGCCCCAGTTGTTCTAACTTAATATGCAGTCTAAACTTCTGCAGGTTAACTTAGCAATAGGACTCGCTGTGTTCAGCAGAGCTTACTCTCAGGGAACAGTGCCTTAGCCGTTTGTGGTTATTCCGAGTTTGTTCTGCAAAGGGATCTTGTGGGTTATTCAGTGTTTTAATTCTTTATTGGTTTTGACTTGTTGAACACTTACGATGTCTGTGTCCACCATCTTCTGCTGTTTTGTTAGCTGCCTCGGGTTTGCAGAGATAAGGTGTGATATGAATATTTTAAATAAATAAAATTCATAACTTGCCCAGCTTTAGTTAGCTCAGAGCACTGAAGGCACAGAAGCTGACCTGGTTAGAAATGTTCTAGATTTGAAAAGATGAGAAATCTCCCCATGTGTCTTTGTGTGGATGACTAAACACAAGACAGATTGAATTATTGGGGGGGGGGGTATGTTGAGCACACATTCTGCACCATTTCAGATTCCTCAAAATGGCCTGCAGAAAGACATTCATGAACTTTTTAAAGTTTGTTGTTTAGCTCTGATTAATAATTGCACTCAAGCCAAGCAGTAAAGAATGAATTGGGCTAAGGTTTAAAAGAAAACTGTCATGTTTCTATTGACTTTAAAGTGGATGAAAGGGGTTCTAGTTTGTTTGAAGACTCAACTTTGTGAGGGTGTTACGGATTCCCATTTCAAACACGCAAAACATCATTTCGGAACACTGGTAGAGCTTATGAAGCTGCCTTGTACCAAGTAGGACTATTGGTCTCTTTAAGAACATAAGAGATGCCAATGTTGGATCAGGCCAAAGGCCCATCCAGTCCAACACTCTGTATCACACAGTGGCCAGAAATACCAGTGCCATCAGGAGGTCCACCAGTGGGGCCAGGACATTAGAAGCCCTCCCACTGTTGACCCCCCCAAGCACCAAGAAGACAGAGCATCACTTGCCCCAGAGCCCCTATCTATACCTTGTGGCTAATAGCCACTGATGGACCTCTGCTCCATCTTTAGCTCAGTGCCATTTATTCTAAGTGGAAGCAGTTCTCCAGGGCCCCAGAGAACATTTCCCTGCTTAATACCTGAAATCCTCTAAGTGGTGCTGCAAGGATCAGGATGCTCTACCACCCTGGCATACTCTGGGCATGCAGAAACCCCATCCGCTGAGCAGATCATCTCCTTGGCTTGCAGAAGGTCCCACGTTCAGTCCCCAGCATCTCCTTTTAGAAGGATCAGGCAGTAGGTGATATGGAAGACCTCAGCCTGAGACCCTGGAGAGCCACTGCCAGTCTGACTAGACAATGCTGACCTTGATGGACCGATGGTCTGATTCAGTATAAGGCAGCTTCAAGTAAGTTGATCCAAAAGAAAACTGTGTTTGGGGCAAACTCTGTTTCACCCAACAGTCTGCCTTTAGTTGTGGGTCTCTCTGATGCCCCAGAAGAGAGGAGTGTGGAGAGGAACAAACCTAATAGTTAGCAAAGGACATAGGGACACAAGCCCAAACTGAAAAAACAAGTATGAGGCATTTTAAATGTGACACTACAGAAAGCTGCTATCCATGCAGGGTTTCACATAGCTCAATGTCTAAAGGCATGCTGGTGCATAAATGCTGCATACACAGGAGCTTGTGACATGGAATCATTCCTTTTTTGTTTGCTTGCTTGCTTGCTTGGTGTCTTGTTTTACAATCAGCTCACATTTTCCCACTTAATTACGGAGTTGTGCAAAATTGCTATTTCCTTCCACTAGAGGGTGATCGTGAAATGCGGGTCCACAGAGCCACATACCAACTTGAAAGCTGGCACACTGTCTTATTCTGCCCACTTTCCCCTAAAAGATATTACATGGCTTTTGTTTCTGAATTTTGCTGTGGACCACTACTACTACCTACTTTTTTGGGGTCTACTTTGGGAATATCAGTATTTAGCCACTGCAAAGAAAACACTTGAACTGGAAGAAAAAGAACCTTAGAAGTTTCATTGGGGAATACCACCATTTGGTTTATATTGACTCTTGATTTAATGCATCAAATAAGTATTACTAACACGGACTCACTAACTCTTGAATTCATTGACTTAAACGAAAAGTTATTATTTTTATGACTAACTGGATACTAACTGTTAAAGACCTTCCTTTCTTGAGCTTTTAGTTATAGTATGGGTTGCTTTATTTGCTGTCTTGTAACCTGGTTTTTTTTTTCTTCCCCTTCCCTTTTCTATTTTCTGTAGTTGTGTAGGTGTAACAAAAATAAATAAAGCTACCCTGTTTTCAGGGGATTAAAAAAATAATAAGTATTCTCCAGCATTGTTAATATAAGGACTACTACATGTTTCCTTTGCTCCCAGACTTTAATAGGATTTGTGTGTTCTGTCTGCAATCAGTGGGATATTTGATTAGCTATATGTTTGTTATAGTTTCAACTGGACACCTTCCATTTTTTGCTCCTTCCCAGCTTACCAAGAGCACAAATAGGTATCAGCTAGCCCTACCCTGTGTGTCCCCTGAAGCTAGCAAAACATCCTACATAGGATGCAGGCAAGGAGGCTGTGGTGGAATAGGCCTGCTCTGGCCTGCAGGACCTGTTTCCACCCTGGCATCCTGGGTTTTTGCAACACCTGGATAGGTTTTGCTTCCACTCTTGGGCAGCTCACCACCACCACCTGAACTTCTGCTGGAATTGCTCACTAGGTGGGAGTCAGGACTCCCAGCTTCCCTTCCAAGTTCTAAGGCTTTGCCTTTGTGTCTCCTGCTGCCCAGCCTCTGGTCACCACGGGGACAGTTTACAGCCTCGTGCACCCTTGCCAATAGCCACTTGCCAACTGCCTGCCTTCCCCCTGGTGCCCCTTTTAAAATAGTGTGACCAAGACGGTGGAGATCCATGTGGTACAGAGAACCACTCTCAGCATCAAAAGTTATAAAGTATTTATCAAAAAGAAAATGTTTACAAGCATACTTTTAACACAGCACCGGATTGAGCAAGGAATAAAAAAATGGGTGAAACACAATTCCTCTGT